TTCTCGATAGGCAAACTAAGGCAGAGTTTCTGGGGGAACTTTCAACCCAACATTTCAAAACCAGTGGTAGAAGACAATCAGGAAACAGTGTGCCTTGAGCACTTTAGAAATCATTTAATGTCCAATTTATATGACTGCTCCTCTAGCACGACTTGGCATTAGAGACAACCAAGAAAGTGAAGACAGCATAGGAGCCAGGAGTCCTGGGTCCTAAGCTACCCACTCATGTCATAGTGCCCACCTCCCAAAGGCTCTAGTATCTCTAAGTGCTTACCCCATACTTGAAAGACAGCAGGAGCCAGGTGCAGTCTAGGGGAGGTAGGGGAGCACCATTCAAACAGGCTTTTCAGCACTCAGCCAGCAACACATGAGCCTTCTGTAGCCCCAGGCCCAGTATGTACATTGTCCACCGTCTTCTCTGGGTCCTACTGTCTCCTGACCTTAGCTTTCTGTGAGGCTCCCTAGCCTGTACCCAAGCAACCATCAGGTACACAGAGCTGAGGCCCAGGGTGGTGCCCAATATTCAGAGTTTGCCCAAAGGCACAGTATAGGCCAGCTCAGCTTGGTTAAACACCTCCTCCATGCAAAATGCTTACACCCAGGAGTCTCCAGGTCAGATCTGCAAATACCAGGCAGGGCCTCATAGTGTTCAGCCATCACCCATATGCTAGGCTTTCTTGGGAGTATCAGAGGTTCCAACCACACATTCACATAAGCACACACATATACCACATAACAGAAGGCCTGTTTCTGCCACTTCTCTGTGGAAGTACTTGTCTCTATAAGCCCTTTCTTTCTCATTCAGAAGTTGGGGAAATGATATCATAAAGGTTTAGGGGTAAAGACTAAGTAAGACTGTAGGAAAAGTAACAAGCAGTCCATAACATGCACTCAATAAAAGGTAATCTTAACTGTATTGACAGCTCACTTTCCTTGGGCATTCTCATTACAAAGCACTTTCACACTGCTGCTTATGAAATGAATATGTAAATGACAGAATGAGGGACAAGAAGAACAGGTAGAGTGATGTCTGTTTTACAGATGAGGACAAGACTTAGAAGTAAAGTGAGTCACTCAAGATTACATAGTCAAGAGTGGCAGAGTTGAGCCTCAGTCTGGAACTCTACTTAATCCAAAACTGTGTCTGGCCTGCCAAACAGTATGGGTTCGAGATTACAGAGCAAAAACCCAAAGACAGAATATGGTGAAGAGCTAGAGAAAGGACCAAAGCCAAGAATCAAGAGTCAAGGATAAAGAACAAGAGTCCAGGCAGGCCTGGTGGCTCACCCCTGTAATTCCAGGTCTCTGGAGGTTGAGGCTGGAGAACTGCTGAGAGTTCACCACCACCACCACAGGAAACTGAGTTCCAGGCCAGCCTGGGTTACAGAGTGAGAACCTGTCCTGAAACAAAAACAAAGGTCCTTGCTCATTAGTACATAGAGTGAGCTAACCCTCCTAGTCCAAGGATCCTGGAGCTGGCAAGTCCAAGATCAGAGGAGACTGGGAAACCAGGACTTGGGCTTATCATTGATTCTCAAGGAGATTATGTACATGTATCTCTTCACAGAGAGGGCCCCAGATCCTTCCCTGGTCACTGTCTCTTCATCACCCTAGGTCCAGGACAGTGGGGGCAATAACACCATCTCATCAACCCATCACTGGTCTCACAGTGGTCTCAGGAGAGGTCCAGGAGGGACACCAAAATCACACTACCTGAAGGTTACTCACAGGTGAGAAGAACCTTGTTTTGGAAAGAATTCTAACCAATATGATTAGTTTCTCAGCCTGCTAGAGAAAAGTAACAAGTCAGAATTGAATGGAAAAGCTGCTGCACTCTGGGCACACCAATGTCCCTTCTTGCTACCAGACAGAGATAGAGAAGGGAAGACCAGATCAGATTTTAAGACAGAGCCGCAGGGGTCTCCAGGCACTGGGACATAGGGCTCTTCAGAGCTCCCAGAACCAGGAGACTATACTTGACCTGGGGCATCCAGAGATTAAATTATATCTAGCATTTGGTTGTTGATAATAAAAGTGTTTCAGAGAGTCCTGCTCAAAGTAAGAATACTTCCTAAGGCAATACCCTTAACTCTGGGCGGGGGGGGGGGGGGGGGTCCTTGGGGGGGGGGGGGGGGGGGGAGCCTGGATACCAGGACACTTCATTCTCAAAGGATTTCAGGAATCCAAAATTCTGCTGCACCAGGGAAAAAAACAAAACAAAAACCCAACTTCTAGAAAATACTGCAAAAATCAAGCTTTCTTTTGAGTCATTCTTTCCAGGTCCTTCTCCCCACCAGTGTGTGTTAATGAGGTTTTATAGGAGCCCAGCAAGAGCCACAGGTAGAGACTTAAACCAACTCCACCCTCCCCTGGGAGCTGCAGCCAGCAGTGACATCACCACCAAAGGCTGAGCCCATGCCTCCCCAACTCCCTCCCACCCTCAGGGAAAGTGTCTCTACTAGTCCAAATAATTAAGGAAAAAGGAATTTTATGTCTTTCAAGAAGAGAGAAAATAGCAATAACTATTCAAAAGCAAGTGACTTTTTGACATGGCAGAAACAAAAGCCCATGGGAGACACACATGTGTGTGTGCATGTGTGTGTGTGTGTGTGTGTGTGTGTTAGACAAACCTGTTTCAGTCTCTGGGGAGTGGTTCCTAACAGCCTCCTGTCCCAGCAGCCTTCCCTTACCTATTCAAAGCCAGGCACCCAGCAGTCACTCCCAACCTCACTGTCCCCAGGGGGATCCTGACCTGCTTCCCACAGGAGCCAAGGGAGCCTTGGGTGGGGGGAAGGGTTCGGATCTCTGGTAACTTGTGGGCACCTGCTCCCATTTTAAGCAAATTCCTATTATTGTGTTTATGTTTTAGGAAAGAAGGATGCTCTGGGAATGTCCCCTTGTGCACCCACTTTTAACCAAACATGGACGTTTGCCATGGAAGAGAAACCAACTAAACTTTATAAAGAAAAAGCAAAACACCTATGCTCCAAGCTAGAGTCTGACCCCAAAGCTGGGCAGTGCCTTGGAGCTCAGCACAACCTCTTCCTCCAGGAGGCCTTCCCAGGTCTGTCTCTCCTTTTCCAACTGAGACCCCTCTGCTTTCAGAGCCTTGTGTTTCCCTATAGGGTCCAAGCTCCTGAGCCACAAATACCTTCAACTGCAGCACCTGCTCCTTGTCCAGAACACAGAAAACTTCTGACCCAGTATTAATAACGGGTGTTCCAGTATCCTAGGTCACAGGAATATCTGCCATACTGAAGAAAAGCAGCCATCACCTCAATCCTGGCTGGAAAGAAATGCAGCACCCCACCTCCACTGTCCGGTGAGGCCTTTTGGGGCCTGGAGAGTAGAGCAGGAGGGAGCGCGCCAGGCGGGTCAGGGAGGCATGCCAAGTGGCTCCACTTTCTTCTCCACAACAGTAACTGTGATTCCAGGCATAATATGAGTCCCACAGAAACCACAACCCTCAAGAGCAGTATCTCAGACCTGAAAATTGGGAGTGCACGGGAGTCCTGGCTCAGAAACCATAATCGTCACTGAGAACACTGATAGGGGACCCCACAGACCCCAACTCGGGCAATTCAATAGGCATGGAGTCCAGAAGCATGGGAAGCAGTGAACACACAGCCCAGGAGCACAGTACTGCTCCGGGAGTCCACATGCAACTCTGGAAGTAGGAGACCAGGGTGTCTACCCACACTGGGCGCTCCTTCCCTGCGCACGTGCCTCACTTTGTCAGAAACCAGCGAAGTCGAGCTGTCCAGATGTGGTGGTGAGAGACCACCACTTCCGGAAAGGAAAAAGCCCCTGGCTGCGCACCTCCCCTCCGCCTCCCCGGGGACAGACCCCCAGGACTCCACAGCCGGTGTGGGGGCTGGGGGCGTGGGCACCCAGTGGGCAGCGCTGACACCTGGCGGCGGCCCAGGACCAGGCCCACGTCAAGGGCCGGCGCGGCGGGGCGGTTCCCAGGAAAGGGTTACAGGGGCCGAGAACAAAGCGCCCCCGTTGGGGAAGGCGGGCTAGCGGACGGCGGCTGGGGCGGGAGAGCCACTTTCTGGGGACACTCCGCATGCTCTTTGTCGGCCAAGTCCCTCTTTAACGGAGACCGAGCCCCGCCAGAGGTGGATGGCTTCATCCTCCCCATAGGCCTCCCGAGTAGCCAGCTCCACGTTTGTCCCTCTTTCCCCGCGGCTCTACTGGGCGGGCCAAGGGACCCGCCTTCCCTCCGCGCGGCTGCAGCACAAAGCCGATCGGGGGAGGGGAAGCGCCGTCCCGGGGTCCACACGCGTGAAGGCCCCCCGCACGCCTCGGCCGAGCGCGCCACGCGGAAGAGGCCCTCCGGGGGAGCAGCACAACTTCGGTGACCCCAAAGTTGGGCTCCTTGGGATCTGTAGCTATGGGAGGCCAACTTCTCGGCATCTCCCGCTGCCGGCTCGGCCCGGCTCACCTGAGGAAAGCCCGGGGGCCCCGCGCCACCCTCCGGGCTCCCACGCACAGTCCTGATCCGGGTCCCTCCGCCAACCCGCCAAGAGCTCGCTCCCGCGCCGGCTCCCCTGCGCCCAAACTTGCCTGGGCGCAAAGGGCCAAGAGCCCGGGCTCGGCGGCGTTGGGGGCGCAAGCCCGCAGTCTGGTTTGAATTAAGGTCTGCGGAAGGGGCGTTGTGGCCGCGGTCACTGCATCCCTCGGGGTCACTGGCAGAGGCCAGGCCGCGGAAGGGGCCAGCAGGACTGTCCTGGGAGAGGGCGACTCCAGGCGCGGCCGCAGGCTCCACTCTCCCGGACGTCCCAGCCAGCCCGACCACGAGCGGTGGGACCTGCGAGGCACCCACAGAAGGGAGGAATTGGAGCAGACAGGAGTCCTGATATACGAGCTCATCATCGCAGGGGCAGCGCGGGAAGAAGTCCCCGCTCCCCTCCCCCTCCACGTGCCGCCGCCGGCATCTGCGAGCTTCTAGCGCCGGCTTCCCGCCGCCTCCCAGCCCTGCCCGGGGCCACACTCACCGGCAGGGCCGGCTGTAGGCGCAGCGCCAGCGCGCACAGCCAGAGCCACAGCGCCGCGCGCCTCATGCTGCCCAGACCGGCGGCGGGAGCTCGGCAGGATGCGCGGGTTGGAGCTGCGGGCTGCGCGGGGTCTGCGGGCGGGCTCTGCGGGTTGCGCTGCGCTCTTCAGTCCCGGGCGTCTTCCCAGCGCACTGCCGTCCTGGGCGAGGGCTGCAGGTTTCGCCGGCTGGAGTCCGCTCCCGACTGCCGGATTCCTCTGCGCCGGCTCGGTCTGCTCTGGTCCGCACCTCTCCCGCCGAGCTCCGCCTTATAATAAACCCACCGGCTCTTGGCCGTGGCAAAAACTAGCCGCCCCCCCCAGCCCAGCTCCACGGGCCTGGGCAGCCCGAGTCCCCACCCCTCTAGGGCCCCGCCCCTGAGCAGCTCCGCCCCACCCCTGGAGCGCTCCGCCCCCGCGGCTCCTGCCACGCCTCTTTCCACGCCCCCTGGACCCAAGCCCGCCCTACGCCTCAGCTCCGCCGGGTCAGAGCCCCAGCCTTCCTCCCTGAGCCCTGGTACCTGCAATCTGGGATATCTGTCGAGGCTCCCCTGCTGTATGGCTGGTGCTCTCTGGCTGGTGGGGACCCAGGCACACCGGCTACTGCGGCCTGCCCTGGGTACTGAGGCCCTGCCCAGAAGAAGGGTAATCGTTGGTCCTTTGCGCGCGAGGCCGCAGCGCCCTCTGGGCAAGGACTCTGGGCGCCCTCCCGGTGCGCGCGATTGCTGGGGCCGCCCCAGAACCCCGAAGCAACGAAGCCATAAACTGTCGGGCAGACTTGTGCTTCCCACCTCTCCACCCGCTGAAGATGGGGCTTCCCGCGTCTCCGAGCACCGATTCTCACCCGCGTTCATGTCCTCCCAGCATCTGCTAAGTGCTGGCAACTTCGGGCCTTTAAGGATCTGAGCACTGTCAGGAAGAGTTTTGGGGTTGTTTTGTTTTGTTTTAAAAGTTTTTGTTGTCTTTCTGTAGAAGACAATGTCCTCTCTCTTCGTTGTCTGAGCCGAAAGGAAAAGTAAATGGCTGCTTTGTTCCCAGGTGATCAGGCATATCCATCTGAGAAGTTCCTTTAAAGATTCCCTTGCTTGCCCTGGACCTCGGGGTTTGCAGCACCCACCAAGCACATCAAAAAGGCCACAGAGAGCCTGCGGGCATGAGACAAACAGCCAAGAAAGCAAAGGGAAAGGACCGGCCTTCTCTTGCCCTCAATCTATAGCAGGAAAGATGCTGCCAAATAACCTTCACACCTGCAGGATAGAGATCAGTGATGGCGTCCTCATCCTCGTTCCCTGGGCAGAAGTAAGACCCACCTCTGCCTGCCTGAGTTGAGAGCCTAGAAGGTCTGGGGCTCCTTGGCCTCTCTAGAAGTTTCCAGTGTGGAGTCTCCATCTGTGGAGCCCGCCTTCTGGGAGCTCGGCAGCCTCCTTTGCCCCCACCTCTTGCCTCACTCAGGTGGCCCACCACCGCCGGGTGCTCAGCTGCATCTGAACACCTTTGACATCAGGCAGCTCTTCCTTATGGATCTTAGTTTTCCCAGGCCTGTCGGTGAGCTATAACAGGATCCTGTAAGGTTCTTAAGGCCTTGGAAAGAAGCACCCAACAACAAAGGTCTGAGTTGCCTGGTGGGAAAAATGTCTCTTAAAAAGTAGATTCTGACCAGGTGTGGGGGCGCATGCATTTAGTCCCAGCACTTGGGAGGCAGAGGCAGGAGGATCTCTGTGAGTTCAAGGCCAGCCTGTTCTACAGAGTGAGTTCCAAGTAAAGTGGGCTACAGGGAGACCCTGTCTCAAAAAGATCAAAAAAGAAAAAAAAGTAGATTCTGCGAGAGTGTGGCTCTAGCGTTTAAAGTCAACTTGTCAGTTCTTCCAACCCAATATGGAGGAAAAATGGGGCAATATGGTATGTTATCTTCCTTGTCTTCTCAAAATAGGAAAAAATGGAGTCAGGTCTGATGGGTTGGATTTTTTCATGTTTTAAACATAAAGAGTTTGATGTTTCCTTCAAATAATGTAGCAGATCATTAAGTCTGCTTAGGGGCAGACTGGGAAGAGGAAAGCCCCTCCAGGGATCCTAAGACAGACACATACACAGAAAAAAAAAAGAGGAGATGGGCCAGCTGGCTTTCAAGCCCAGACACCCTACCTGGCTTGTGTCTCCTCCCTGCCCACAGTGTGCAAGAGAGCCTTTCCTCCAAGACCCCTCAGATGAAGCCAGACAAGGAAGGCGCCTCCTGACCTCTTTCAGCTAGTATGCCCTGCTATGCTCACTCCTATCTGTACATAGAGGCTTCTGCCTGGAGACCCTGAACCTTCCTATGTTCTGGCCACCAGGGGATTAATGCCTAGCTTAGTAGGAAGCCTCTAGCCTCCCTGTGAGGGCCCTCAGAAAAGGCCATCTTGATTTGTATTCTGACCATGGGTTATTTATTAGAAAAAGAAAGTTCCCCAAGGGCAAGGCCAATCTCCTCCAGGTCATTTACCTTGTTCTTCCAGCAGGCACACAGGACTTGAACCTCAGAGAAATACTTACTCTTGACTGATTGGCACTGATGGAGAGTGGGCAAGAAGAACAAGAAGCTTAGCACCTCAGTACAGGACCTCAGGTGACAGGCACCTGAACTGGAAAAGCCTCTGCCAAGGTCAACAGCATCTGTCAAAATGAAAATGCACCAAACCTCTCACTCAGGAAGTCTTTTTCAGGACATTTCCTCTTCCTAGTGTCTTCAATGCCCAAGAGGCAAGTCTAATGCCCATCACTGAAGGGAAAGTGGAGTAGCCATGAATGGTCCCACATTTGAATTCCATGTAATATTTTTTAAATGAAGGTAATTAACTCCTGACATTGAAAGTTTTTTTCAAAACTAATTTTGAGGGGCTGAAGAGATAGCTCAACAGATAAAAGCAATGGCTGCTCTTTCAGAAGACCTGGGTTTGAGTCCCAGCACCCACATGGCAGCTAACAACCGTATAGCCAACATTTCCAGAGCTAAAGCTCCTCTGGCTCTGTAGCTCTGCCATCCCTCCAGTGGCCTTCTCTTCAGGATGACAGCATTCCTTCCAGCCAGCACAGTGCACACAGCCATGTCCAGAACAGAGGCCTTCTGCTTGTGTCTAGAGGTGAGGAAATAGCTCACTGAAGTTCACACACACCATTTCTTTTATCATCTTCCTGACCCAAAGTGAGTCATGTGCTCCCCTGAACCCATCACTGGCAAGGAGTGTTTGCTTATTAGTATGAGTTTAGATTAGTCCTTCAGAGATTGACTTTGGGAGAATTAATACCATGCCCATAAAACAATTTGTCTTGTTAAACAATATCAGATGCATGGAAGGCTTTCTTCAAGACCCAAAGCGCAGTTTTTTCCATATCAGCTTCTCCCTATAAGGGAGCATCTTAAGGGACAACTAGTTGTTTTAATATAAACCATATCAAAGATATAATAAAACATAGGATAGAAACATCTGTCCAGTGACTACCCTGTTTATAAAATCATATTATGGTATCTTTTTCTTTGGCTTTTATTGATTTTTTGATGATATGTAAGGTTATAGATTATGGTCATTAATTTCATGTGTCAACTCCACTGGGTTAAAGGTGCCCAGATAGCTGATAAAATATTATTTCTCAGTGTATCTGTGAGGGTGCTTCCAGAAGAGATTAATATTTGAATCAGGAGACAGAATAAAGAATATCCACTCCCATCAGTGGAGTGGACATCATCCATTCTGTTGAGAGACTGAAGAGGATTATGTGGGAGAGGGTCAAGTTCACTTTCTCTGTCCTTGAGCTGAGACATGCGTCCTGTCGTGTCATTGGTCAATGGAGGTCCTGGTTCTTGGGTCTTTGAACTTGAATTGAATTAAGATACTTCATCTTCATCTTGGTCTCTAGGCTGCAGGTCAAGAGATTGTGGGACTTCTACCTCTATAATCTCATGAGCCAATTCCCATAGTAAACTTGCTCTTTTCAATTTATATCCTATTAGCTCTGCTTCTCTGGAGGACCCTGACTAATACACAATTACAACTAGCTTCTCCAATTTGTGTTCTGTTTTGAGAGCTACTCATGTTAACACATGTAACCCTGATTCATTTATTTTAATTGGTGTATAATAATCCATTGCATTGTTGTGTTATAAAAATGCCACAATGTATCCATGGACATTTTGTTGTTTCTGGTTGCTGTCCTTTGTTTTAAGATGTTATATACAATGCTACTATCAATTCTCTGTTTTTGTTTTGTGGTTCTGGGGACAGATGCACTAGGTAAGATTTCTAGCACTAAACCCTACAGTGAATCCTTGTATCTGTCTCCTCAAGTCTGGGAGAGTTTCTTTAGACATTCAGTCCCTGAATTATAATATAAATATTTTCAACTTTCTTATGAATTATTTTACACCATTTCTCTAAGCAAATTGGTCTCCAAAAAGCTCATACCCATGTACAACTCTCAATGGGAGATTGGAAAATTGCCACTCTTTTTTAAAAAATGTTTGTGTGTGTGTGTGTGTGTGTGTGTGTGTGTGTGTGTGTATCTGGGGAAGGGTATGTGCCATGGCACATGTGTGGAGATCAGAGGACAACTTGTATAAATAGGTTCTTTTCTTCAACCATGTGGGTCACAGGGAACAAACTAAAATGGTGAGGCTTGGTAGTAAATGCCTTTCCCACTGAGCCATCTCACTGGCCCAACCATTCTACATTCCTCTCTAGGCCTTGGTATTGCTGAACCTTTTCTGTTTTGCCAGTCAGATGCAGGTCAAGTTATAGAAGTTTGATTTTGAATATCCCTCCCATAAAGAAGCATTTTACTGAAGTTTTTGTTGCATACTGCTTGGGAAGATACTTCTGGTTGCTTCCCAGTCTGTTCTTCATCTCTTTCTTAGTAAAATATCCTCTAATCTGGAATTAGTGACATGGCTTAGCAGATAAAGTGTTTGCTGCACAAGTCTGTTGGCCCGAATTCAATCTTTAGAACTCACCTAAAAGTGGCAGGAGACAACAGATTCCACAAAGTCGTCTTCTGATCTCACGTGCCCATGCACACACATCATACATACACACAATAATAATAAATACATTTTTAAAGATCCCCTAAATTTCAGCTAGGCTTATAACCACTGCCGGTAAAGTCTGCCTCTCCCAGCATCTCTTACAGCTACATGGATCCATGTGATTAGGCTTTTGCCAGTGGTACAAGAGCAGAAATGTAAATGAACCTTCAAGGAAGCATCAGGATAAGGAGGCAGCTTCTTCCATCTATTTTCTCTCATCTGTGATAGAGGTATGATAGCTGCAGCTGGAGCAGTCATTTTGAACCATTAACTTGGAACAGGGGCATGGCACAGAAGCTGG